ATGCCGACACCATCAACGGCGGAGGTACTCCCGCCGCGGTCGACGTCATCCTCATCGGCGACTCACTCCTCGCATTGCTTCCTACATCCGCCGCTTCGACGGCAATCTCCGCCATCTCCGATGCAACACTTCCCCTCACCACTTTAAGCACAATATGCAACCAAAACAAAAAAAAAAATCCTTTTAAAGAGAGAAGTTTCCTTTACATCTAAAACTTCAAGTGGATCCAAATGCTAGGGTTTCAAAATCAGTTATAATACAGCTGTTGAGCAGATTTTCAGATATAGAACAGAAAAAAAAAATAAAAATAGGAGAGACAGTGAAGAAGAGACAGTATGAGCTGAGAGAGGAAATAATGTTGCTTTTTTATTTCTCTCTAAATTGTGGATTTAAATCTGGTTACAACGACAGAGTGAAGAGAGAGATTAGTAATGGAAATTAATTAACTAATTAATCATAGATTAACTTAATGGGGTTGGTGAAATTACAGATTAGTGCATGTTTAGAGAATCAAAGCTGTTTAAGCAGACAAAAGCTGGGGACTGTGTATTATTATCCAGTAAAATTTTACTCCGCTATTTTTTAATTAAAATTTTAATAAATTTTATAATTTATGTATTTATATTAAATATATATAAAATATAAAAATTATCATATTATAATTTATATTAATAAATTAACATAAAATAAATTTTTTATTTATAAACAAATTTTAATCAAAATTTAATATTTTATTTTTTTATTTATATTATTTTTGTGTCATTTATCTTTAATTTTTTAATTATATATCTAAATTTTGGCGTAAGATAAGTGGGGGTGCATTGCGCATCGGGGTTGCTAAAATGGGTGAGGGTGTGCAATGCGCAGCGCAGGTTGCGCATTGAGAGTTTTTTTTTTTTTTTTCTCTTCCTTAGTGTTTTTCTTTTTATTTTAATTTTATTATAAAAATTAAAATTATTAAAATAAATAATTTCTGGGATTCAAAAATTGTTATTTTTGTACTATGCTTGAAAAATTACTTTAAGACGTTGTTACGTCTTATCGAAAGTAAAAATATGGCTCAAAGAGAAGCAATTTAAAAAAAAAATGTTTTTCATGCCTAATAATTTCAGATGAAAAATTTTAGAGATTTAAAAATTTTTCATAACAACAAAAAAAAAGGAAAAGAAAAAGAGGGCATGAGAATTTTAAATTAACCAAATTATTAATCTCATAATTAATGGCATATTAGCATTTGAGTATAGCCATTCAATCAATTTGAAATTTCAAATTTTTTTTTAAATTTAAATTTGAACTCAATTGATTAAATTTAAATAAATTCATAAATCAAAATTAATTTTATTGATATTTTAAAGGGTTTATCCAAAATTCAATACACCCAAATTTAGATTCGTTAGAATTTAAATTATGCGTTATTTATTTATATTTAATTTTTTGCTTTTATAAAGTTATTAAAAATGAAAAAGAAATTTAAGCAATTATCATATCTTTCAAAGACATAATAACTTGCTTGCCCGTCCGACAATTTTCATTAAATTAATGGAGAAGATTACAATTAACTTCTTATTACTATGATATTTAAAATGGTTGGAAGATATTTTTTGACAATTTTCATTAAATTAAAGGGGAAGATCATAATTATCTTTTTATTACTACAATAAGATTTTAACAAATTTAAAATTCGAATTTTAATATTTATTTTTTTATCCAATGCAATTTTTTTTATAAAATATATATTATAAATTTTTTTTTGTTTTTGTTTTCATGAAATCCCTTTACATGCACTCATGTAGGTTTATCTCAAATTTTGATCTTTTCACTATATTCCTTAAAATTATTTACTCATTGATGAATGATGAAAATTTTTAATTAAATGGATATATGACAAATTTTTATTCTTTTCATGTGAATTCTCTTCGCATATGTGGCTAAACATGGCAGCCATATCCATTTTCTCGGGCAAAAGTCTTTCGTTGTTTGGAAAGAAAATTGGAATCGTAGCTTAATTGGATACAGGGATGTTACATCACCAACCAAGTAAGTTCATTGTTGTTAAGACGAAACAAAAAAACCACAGTAGAATTTGAGGGACCATTTTTTTATTATCGGAAGAAAATGACATGCAAATATAAAATATTAGGAGAAGTTATTACTTGTCATTGTCAATATAATATTGATAAAGAAAATTTGAGGATTCCATCCTTGATTTGTGACCCAAATCCATGTGCTTAATTTTTCTACACAATATCAAATATAATTGGAATTTGGAGAAAATATTTTATTAACGTATCAAGTTTAGAAAAATGAAGATTAATATGCTGCCCTTTGCGGTCATTTTCAATAGTTAATTAATTAAATACTGTCTTCAGGTTATATGTCACGTACATAAATGAAATAAATATAGCTCAATTACAGCCGTGAACAAATCCTTTATTTGAAACTTGTATTGTTTCATCTCAACGATTTTGATGAGCTAAAACCTTCATTTGTAAAACTCGAATTTGATTAAGTGATTATCAAGTAGAGTTCAAACTTAAATTTAAATAATTCGATTTATTAAATGAGTTGAATTATATATTTTAATGTCATGAATTTAATTAAAATTTTAAATTTTAATATGTTTTTATTATTTTAATTAATAAATTATTACTTTATTTATATATATTAATTTAAATTCGATCACGTAATTAAACTTAAAATTAAATATAAGAATTGAATTAATTTTTTATTAAATAAATTTAATTAAATAAATTTGAGTAATTTTGATTTTTATTTTAAGTCAAATTTAAATTTAAAAATTAAAATTCAATCAAATTTGAATAAAATTTTGACCAACAAATTTTTAATCAAATATAAATTCAAATATTTCATTATCTCAACTTAATTCGATTTAGTTCTATTACACCTTTAGCAGTAACCCATGAACATGATTGTCTGTTTCTTGCTGTTAACTAAATATACAAATATATATAGTGTATATCCATTTATTTTACATATGCAAAGGGGATATCTACGTAAGAAAATCAATGTCTTTGACCCTTTTCCATAGTTAGGAGTTAGGATTGGGGGTGTAAACGAGTCGAATCAAGTCGAATAGTAAGAAATTTGAACTCAAGCTCGACTCATAATTCGGGGTTCGATATTCGATTATAGTTCGATCGAATTTTATTTTTCAAGCTCGAGCTCGATTCGTGATCGAATTTGAGCTACTCGAGCTCGTTCGATTAAGCTCGATTAATATGTAAAAATAAGCTCGATTCGTATACTCGACAAGAGTTCGATTATTCATACTCGAATTCGAACTCGGACTCGAAATATTTTATTAATTAAAATAATAAAAATATATTTAAATATAAAAGCTCGATTAAGTTCGCGAGCTACTCGAGTCAGATATAAAAATACTCGAATTTAACTCGATCGATGAGTCGAACTACTCGAGCTCAAACTCGACTCGACAATAATCGAATCGAATTCGAATTTTTTTCGAATCGAACCCGAATAACTTACAAATACTAATGCATCATTTATATCCAGAATTACACTCAAACCATTCTCTCAAAATTGGTGCACTTTTTAGAGGGAAAAAAGAGAGGATAAATTAAAGAAAACAGAAAAAGAGGAAGCAAAGGCGGCAGCCTTAAAACTTTGCTATCCCTTCAAGAATCAACCTGAAAGGTGACAGATCGGGCCATACTCAATACTGCATTAGAGGGAGAGATCAGTTCAAACCTTTAAAGCCATATCTCCTTTAGCATCCAAAGGGATGCCATTGAAATCTCTTTCACCAACGAGCGATCGGTTTAATTAGTAAAATTATTTTTTTTAATATAAATAATTTTAAGTTTGCATTTATCTAATAATTTTTTATTAAAATTATCTCAAATATAAGATTTATGATCATTATTTTTTAAATTATCAAATATAATATATTTTATTTTAACTTAAAATTAAATATCTTATTTATTTTAGATTTTTCATACTAAAAAAAGACTTTCATTATGAAATGGTATTAAGATGCCATGAAAATGTATCTTATTATTCATTCAAAACAAAACACTAAAACGAAACGTTTGATAATCAAATTATTCAATTATAGAATAGCATAACACAATGAATTTGTTTAATGGATGTTTATTTTATAGATAATTTTTAAGGTTAGCTAATACGATTTCAAAAAATAAAATTTTATTTAATGCACTAATTTTATCGAATTCAAAGAAAAATAATAAATTAATTATAATTTTTTATATAAATGTTACCTTAAAAGTATATTAGTTAACCTCCATTAACATTTCCTATATTTTGTTGAAATAAATTCAATTATAAAAGTTGCAATTAATTCAACATATACATTAATGTTTCATTTTGAATTAAAAAAATGCCTTGAAAATGATGAATTACAAAAATTACAAACATTTTTGTTTATGAATTATGGGTCCTATAATATTTTTTTATTTTAGGGTATTTTCCCCCTTTCAACAGCTTTTTTTTTCTATTTCAAATCAAAAGCATATTTAAGGAGTATTTAAAATTTAATTTTAATTGATTGAATCAATTTAATTTAATTAATTGATTATTAAATTAATTTATTTGAATTATTAAAAATTATTTATAAAATTTTTAGTTTTTAATTAATTTTATTAAAAAATAAATTAAATGAATTAACCAAAAATTTAATTAAATAATACTGATATATAAAACTAAAAATTAATGAAACTGTTCATTTCATATTTTATGTTTGAATATTTTTATCGGATAATTTCATTTAATTTATTTTATATAAGAGAAATTAAAATCTTAAAATATAATTTAATTTAATATATTTTATTATTTAATTAACTAAAAAAATTAAGATGAAATTAATTTGGATCAACTAACTTTTAAAATTAAAAAATTTAATTTCGTTAATAAAAATAAAATAAAATAATTTAATTAATTTAATTTTAAATAATTTCAATTCAAAATTATCCAAATGAACAAACACCTCCTCACTAAGAAACGCATAGAGATATTTATATATTTGCTGCTGGGGATGCAAACGGCACTCTGATGCTAACACCATACCAGCTCATTATACGGCCTTGGGGGATTCCAATGGGGCCTTCTCATAAGTTTCTACGTTGATTCCATTTGATTGTTTTGTGTTTTGATTTGGTTTAGCTTTGCCGCCTTATTGCAAACGATGGCCCGTAGGCTCTGTTCTCGTCTCTTTATTTTCAAAACTCCGAAGCCCTGTTGGCTGCCACCACCACCGCCCTTTTCAAGGTCAAAATCCATCTCTCTTTCCGTATTTAATTTTCTCTTCAAAATCTGGGATAAAAAGAAAAAGAAAAAAAAGCCCATTTTGTTTGCAGGTCAGAATCTCCTTTTAGATTAGTGCTAAGCGCTTCAACAAGTCATATTAATGGTGGGTTTTACCCAAATTTGATAGGTAAGATTCCTTCTCTCTTTGAACTCAAGTGGTACGATTTATGTACGTGTCAAATGTCAGTTTTCTGGTACTGATTGCTTGAATTTTATCTTTTGAATGTATGTGAAGAAGCCATTAGTCATTTGTTTAGCTTGTTACTTTAAAGCAGGTGCATTGTAGTCAATGTATTTGTAAAAAGTATTAAGAGAAATAAGTTGATTGATGATTTTTCAACTGACCCTTTTTTAGATATTGTTCATATTGGGTTTTTCATTGTTTAAATATGATAGCTTCGAATTACATTTTTTTGCTTTTTTTTTGGATATTCCTTTTGAAGAACCATGACCCTTAATGCCACGTTTGACATTGGCAATCCGCAATCTTTAGTTCTTCACTGGTGGAATAAAAGTGTGCTAGAATTTGGTATTAATATACTAGTACACAGCTTGGGAATGGATTGATTAGTTTGATTACATTGTATTTCACAATTGGGGCATTGGTTTAGCTGATGTAGTTTTCACCATTCACAATTGTTGTTGAACGTTTGCTAGTGTTGAGATCATATGCTCGTGGAGGACGCAAACATTATGATCTCTTTGGGAGCAAAATGCCAGGTGATGAAGATTTCAGGAAGGCCTGTCAGAAAGAGATGGATGAAGATGAGACGCTGTGGACTGGAAGTGAAGACGAAAGTGATCCTGAAAACAACAAAAGTGATTCTGAAAATCATCAAAGTCGTCTGGAAAGAGAGATACGGAAAGTGAGACAGCAGGCTAAAGAGCATTCAGAGCTAATTGATGCTGATGACAGTGATGAGTTGAGAAGCATATGGTCTGGAAGCGATGAGGAGAAGACTTTGTGGACCGGTAGTGAATGTGACGATGATGATGATATTCCTACAGAAGCATACCCTAATGAAGCTAGTGATAAGTATATCGATAAACTTTTTGAGTTTGAGGAAAAACCCAAGTACAGGACCATGTCAGAACTATTAAAATCTGAAAACGAACCTGAGGAGTTATCCCCAGGTAAGAAAGCAAGGAAACTGGCAGTTGAGAACGCCTTGAAAAAACTCAAGAAAGGGCCAGATGGGCGTTATACTAATGTTTGGGAAGTCATGAGTGATACAGACATTTTGATCGGAGCATTTGAGAATATTGTTTCTGGACCAGAGTATGAGGAGCTTCGACAAGGGGGACCTAAGAAATTGAATATGCAGTTCTTCAAGGATATTCAAGCACGCATGAGGGATCCCAACTATAAGTTCTCACCAGAGTTAAAGTTGAAACCAAAAAGCAAGCTGGTTCCTAAAAAGAAATGGCAGAAGGCACAGTCTAGACGCAGGAAAGCACAAAAACGCTAGGCAACATCTTCTGCTCCTCTTTGACATCAATTGGCTTACCTGTACATTACTTGAATCCCAAGTTTGTGCTATGAATATCTACATCTCTCTGTATAACAAGATATTTGCTTCATTTATAACATTTTTGTGCAATATTTTGATTAGAAATATGATTTCTATGTCTTTCTTTACTTCTCAAAGATTTCCCTGGCTTCTTTCATTACTTGTTAAGGCTCCTCTAACTTTCAGTGTTCAATCTTACTTTGCTTCTCGGATGTTTGGTAATGTGGATATGTGGACATGCTCTCCACCTGTCCATATTTTATAATTATTATATTTAAAATTTTAGTATGTTGAATTTTAATATAATAAAAACATTAAAAAAAAAACTCATTACTTATTAAAGCACTTGTCAGTAAAATTCATAAAAAGAATAAAAGTTAACCAAATTAAATTTTCAAAATTTCATTGTATTTCAGCACTTGAAATTTTTAAAATTTTAATATATTTTCAACATATTATGATTATTGATTTATTATTTCATTAATAAAAAACATTAGCATTCTATTTAATTTGATCCACTTCCTTTATTTCCTTAATTTTTTTTCTACATTTCTAATAATTTGACATACGCAATTTGTTCTACATAAAAAAAAAAAAAGGTCAAAACCAAACAAAAGGTCCCAGATTGGAACATCAAATTTCGGTTGCGTTGCGGTGCGGTGCGGTGCGGTGCCAATCACGTAAAATTAAATAGAAAAATTAAAATTAAAATTAAAGCTAGCAAAAAAAAAAAAAGAGAAAACAAAAATAGCAAAGCGGAAACAGGCGGAAATATTATATCTTTTATCTTTTCAACTTTCAACCAACAACAAAACCAAAAAGAAAAAAAATCCTTTTACCATATAGCAGTCAGTTCTAAACCAAACTATTCGTCCAAACACTCCCTTCTTTTATTTTCTTTTCTATAATTTTCCCTTCAAAAACCCCTTTCACTCACTTTCTCTTCTTCTCTCTTCTTTCTTTCTGTTTTTTGAACAATTTTTTTGGCTAAGAATTGTTCAATTATGTGAATTTAAAACCCCAAAATCAAATTCCCACATGTCTTCTACATCTTTATCTCAAACAGCAACTACGGCGGCGTCTGATCCCCACGCGCCACTCCTCCGCCCGCGCCAGCCTGATGCCTCAACGGCTCGCCCTTCTACGCTGGCGCTTTTGTTGGGGCGGGCCACAGGGCGGGGTGGCGCGTCCATGCTGGTGAGGGAGACAGCCGCACGTGAGTTGGAGGAGCGGCGGGTGGACTGGGGGTACTCGAAGCCGATTGTGGCACTGGACATGCTGTGGAATACAGCGTTCCTGGCTGTGTCGATCGTAATGTTGATCTATACGATGGATGAGAGGCCTAATACTCCTATTAGACTGTGGATCTGTGGGTATGCTTTGCAGTGCTTGGTGCATGTTGTTTTGGTGTGGTTGGAGTATAGGAGAAGGAACAGTCGAAGAACATCGGCTAGGGATGAGGAGAGACGAGATGATGCTGCTGGAGATGTCAATGATAGCGAAGATGAAGAAGATGGAATTGAAAGGGGTCCTTCTGGTTCAAATCAATCAAGGTCAGTTTTTTAATATGGTTTGACTTAAATTTTGTTGTGGGTTTTGTTTCTTTAAGCTAAAATTTTCATTTGGGTTTTTTTTGTTTGTTTAATTTTAGATTTTTGAGTGGTTAATTAGTTTGTTAGTTGAATTTAATGAAGATTCATGCATCTTTTTGGATCGAATTTGTTTTTGAGCTTGAATTGTTGTGTTTTTAAAGTTAGAATTTTGATGAAAGTATTGCTTTTTTGTGCTAAACTGTATGAGGGTTTTAGTTCAATTTGGCATTTTATTGGTTTTTGAAATGAATTAGATAAGGGTTTGAGTATGATCTTGGCTGTCTGGGTTTCTAAGGATTGAGTCTGTGGTTATTCTAAAGGAATTGGAAGAATTAGATAAGGGTGGCATGAAAAAGTTATGGCACATTGTGATTGGTGGAATTGTTATTATCCTTTAGTCTTGATTTCGAGGTGAGTGGAAGCCAATGACCTAAATGTATGATTCTCTTTCAAATTTGTGTTGGAAATTTAGTCTTCTCTAAGAATGTCTGCCTTTGTATCCAACAAAACTGCAATTGTGAAGCTCTTAATTGTGATTTTCTTAACGCTGACAATAACCTTTCTTAGACTCTAGTTGGTTAAGTTATGGAGAATTTCCATTTGAAGATACCTAAATTAATTTTAAACCAGGAAGCTCGGTTATAGAATGGATATAAATAATAAAAAGATGTGAGCAAAGTCCTGATTTTTAGGAAGGTAAATTACTAAAATATTCCTATTTCATTATTTATCTCTTTTTTCTTTTGGTAATTTTACAAATTGAGTTGATGTCTTAACTCATCACACCAATTTATCAACTGGGATTATTTTGATTACAGCTGAGTCTAGTTGACCAAGCTGTAAAATTGTTACCATGCTATCATTCAAGTGGATCTTTTCTAATATTTTTGATCTGGATTTGCATTTATTTTCTGTTTTAGAAACTTTGATTTAGGATGATTAAAATATTATTCTTGTACTGATTTGATGATGAATGTGCAGTGTAGCTAGACGGTGTGAATCATTGAATACCATGGCATCATTTCTTTGGTGGATGGTGGGCTTTTATTGGGTAGTTTCTGGTGGTGATATCCTTCTGCAAAATGCTCCACGTTTATACTGGTATGCATTTAACCAACCTCTTATTTGACAATTAACATATTTATCAGTTTAGGTGACATTCGTTAATAGCATATCTGGACTTCCACCCTGATGGAGACAATAAATGTGTGGAAGAGTTTGCTACCTTCAGTTGCCAAGTTATTGAAACGTTGCACAGGAATTATTATCTCATTCTTATATAATCAATCTTTGATATTTTTTCCTTGAAATGCAATCACAATCTAGCTGCCATACTTAGAATATTTTTCCCTGTTTTTCAACCCGTGCCATAAATAAAGTTGATGTTTTAGTTAAGCCAAAAAGGAAAAAGCAGAAAGCTTTTACCTGTTAATCATTTCAGATTTTCAAGTATAGTTTTCAAAAAAGTATGTCTATACTTTTCTTGTGGCATGTTTTATGCTATGGTGTTTGCAAGAAAGACTTCAGGATCTTGAATTTGTGACATCTGCAGGTTGGCTGTGGTTTTTCTGGCATTTGATGTGTTCTTTGCAATCTTTTGTGTTGTTTTGGCATGTCTGATTGGGATTGCTCTCTGCTGCTGCTTGCCGTGCATCATTGCAATTCTTTATGCCGTTGCAGGGCAGGTATTGAAAAACCCTTATTGGTTACACTGACTGAAAAATCTTCAACAAATTGGTAATAGCTTAATAGCATCTTCCTTTCTTGTGCTTTGATCAGGAAGGTGCATCAGATGCAGATCTTAGTATCCTTCCAAAATATAGATTTCAGACTATAAACAATGCTGAGAAACCTAGTGTGGGGGCAGGAAAAATGGTCCCCATAGAAACTAGCAGTGGATACTTGGCAAATGAGCACATACTCTTACCTGAGGATGCAGTAAGTTACAACTTTATCATGGAATTTCTAATTTTCATTTCACAATGAAGCTGATTGATCACATTCTTGTTGCCCCACTCCTCCTATCTTGCACACATTTATTTATTATTATTATTTTTTGGGGGGTAGGGGGTGGGTTGTGCGGATGTTAGGTCCAGTGGTCTGTTTTCTATTTGTTTCCTAGCATGAATATACATGTATGGGACATGGGCAATTGAGTGTTTGAAGTTTTGTTATAAGGAGCACTCCATCTTTGCAATGTTTCAAATTTTCTTTTCCCATTCTTATGTTCCAAAAAGTATTTGTTCATTTAGATTTTGCTTAAGGCCCCAATAATGGTTTAGTCATTTATGTAACATGTTTGTCCTGAATATCATCTCTATGTTGTTTGACAAAGCTTAATAAAGGGGGTAGTTAAAGATTTATTCATTTTGTGCGGAGATTAATTAAAAGCTCTTTTGTTGATAAAAAAGAAATTATTTTTGAAGCTTTTCTTATTCTTGTTAGAGAAGAATATAAAGCACTCTGTTTGAAGTTTGTGAGGGGGAAAAATGGTATTGTGAAGGGGGAGGGAGAGGAGGGGTAGAAATTAGAGAACATGTAAAAACAGATGCGGCTAATTTAAGGCAAGTATATTCTCTGAGAACAATCTGAAATGCATGTTTGGTGATCTGAGCCGGTAATTTGCCATACATTATCAGAAGACTGGAATTGCATATGCATATTTGCATTGGCTGGTATCTAGATCTGTCATCGTGATAAGATTTTACATATTATAAATGGCTTCATTTACTTTAGATATCAGTAAATCACCCCGAAAATGACATTTTTCTGGTTGAGAAATGAGATCAGAATGGCACAAATTGTGTGCTTAGCACGAATATTGGATGAAGTTGCTACATTTAGATGGATTTCTCTGATATATTTAGGGCTAAAATCCAATGAGCCTAAACAATCTGAGGAGCTGGATGTGGAGGACTTGTCTGATATCTGGTTTGAGTTTTGAGTTTTCAGCTAGTGAGGCAAAGCTTTTTGGTAATGTGCCATTAATTGCTATTTTCAGTTTATAGTTCTCTTAATATATATATTGGAATTAAAACCAAATTGAAACCTGCAAATATCCAAATTAGCAAGGCTGGTTTGTTTAGAAATGCATCAACTAGTATTAGTCTGTCTTAGATGCGTAAGTCAAGACTATTTACAAGCAAGAACTCCAGACAGTGTTTGACACGGTTTTATGAAGAGTTGCATAATATGCGGCCAATGATAGATAACAAAATTCAAACATGCAGCCCATGTTTGTTACATGTTTGCTGGGGGATGGCCTTCCTTTTTATATTCTTTTCTTAATTCTGGCATTGCTTCCCCATCCCTGGGCAGCCAAAAGGATGATTGCACTCAACAAATTTCTTTTCTGAGTTCATTGGGCATTTTTCTACCTGCTATATTACAATGAATGTGTGATTGCTTTGCTACCATTCCCCCTTTTTTTGGTAGGAATGCTGTATATGTCTAAGCTCATATGAAGATGGTGTGGACCTCCATGCTCTCCCTTGTAACCACCATTTTCATTCAACATGCATTGTGAAATGGCTCAAGATGAATGCAACATGCCCTCTCTGCAAGTACAATATTTTGAAGGGAATTGAACAGGTATGAAAGAAACGAAAGCAAGCCCCCAATTTCCCCAGTTGACTTGTCAAAACTCTCAACGTATGTACAGAAGAAACCAAATCATCAAGAGTGACACTCCTTAAGCTTCATTTTTCGTTTAACTGTTCTTTTGGTGTTGATTGGATTCCTCTTGTGAGTTCTTCCACGCAGTCTGCATGAACATGGAGATGATTTTCATACTTGAAAGTGTTGTCAATTGTACTTTGCTTCATTATTTGATAGAATGAAAAATCAGTTCTTATTGTATATTTGTCTGGGTGCTTTCTAGATGCATTTATTTTTTCTTTTCACATTTATTTAAAGATTTTTAAAAATTTTTTTAGATAAAATTATTTATTTATTTATTTTAATTTTAAAATTTTAAAAATTTCGGATATTCATATTTTATAAATTTTATAAATTATCAGATATAATTATAAAATTAAAATAAAATATATCAAGAGAAAAAACGGATGCATTTATAATTAAAAATAATTAAAGATAACTAAATGATTTTGTTTAAAGATAATTAAAAATAAAATATATAAAGAGAAAAAACGGGTGCATTTATAATCAACGTAAAAAACTTCAATTTATTCTAACGCCTTGAAATTCTAATTATACCCTTAAGACAAGACCCTCAAACGCTCTTGGCTTGCTCTAAAGTCTGAACTAATACTTACCAAAGACTGGAAGAGTAATTTGGTCATTTCACTTTAACCCGTCACTTCCAAAGCTCTTACTCGTATCCTCCAAACGTTTAACACAAACAAAAAACGACACTGTCCAAAACCTCAAATTTGCTCCGAGAGTTAAAAAATTTTTAAAACAATTTCACATATTCAAAAGAAGTACGGAAGAAAGAAAGAAAATAGAAAATCCGATCTTCTTCTTATAGAAACAAACAACCCGATTCGTCTCTACTCAATTTCACCAGATCTGATTTCCCTCAATTTTCATTTCTCGATCCCAAAAAACAAACAGCAAACCCTAAAAATATCAAAAGAGGGGAAACCGAAAATAAAAAAGCTAAGTTCAGGTTCGAATTTGATTTAATCGAAGGAATTTTTTTTGTTTGTTCTTTTAAAAAAATCTGTTATGGCCGACGCGCTCTCCGTGATTCCCGCCTCCGTTTTACGCTATCTCTCCGACAAGCTGTACGAGAAGCGGAAGAATGCGGCCCTAGAGGTTCTTTTTCCTTTTCTTTTTGAATTTCCGTGGAATTTATTTTCTAGGTTTTTTTTTTTTTTAAGGATTGAATTGATTAATTTTTTTTTATCATAATTATAATAATTATATGTAGGTTGAAGGAATTGTGAAACAGCTGGCGTCGTCGGGAGATCACGAGAAGATAACGGCTGTGATCAATTTGTTGACCACTGAATTTACCTACTCGCCACAAGCCAATCACCGTAAGGTTGGTGGATGATGGATAATTTTCAGAATTTTGAAAGTTTTGATGAGATTTTGTATCTATTTAATTTAAATTTTGGCTTAGTAAAAGTTTTTGTTGTGTTTATGTAGGGAGGATTGATAGGTTTAGCTGCTGCCACTGTTGGATTGACTTCTGAAGCCGCCCAACATCTTGAGGTAAGGATTAGTTTGCCTTTATATAGCCGTCTGTTAACATGTTTAAATTTTATTTGAAACATGTGTAGAATGATGTTTACCGTGGCATTCTTATTTGAGAACCAATAATTACGTTTCAAGTTTTAAAGAACTTTGCTCTATGATTGTGATATTTTAAGGTTATTGATGTGGGTATCTTGTTTGTTTGTTAATAAGAAAACAACTGCAGTAGGAATCCATTTGGTGTGCTTTATTGGTTATTCGTGTCAGTTTTTTTTTTGTTTTTCCAGTTAGTTGTTCATTTTGTTAACTTCTTTTCTCTCCCCTTCTTTTGATGCAATCTGCCAGCAAATTGTGCCGCCAGTGCTTAATTCTTTTTCTGACCAAGATAGCAGAGTTCGTTATTATGCTTGTGAAGCTCTATATAACATTGCAAAGGTGGAAGGAGATTAGTTTGCTTATATATATTTATCATTTCTTGTTTTCTTGACTAATAGTGGACATGATATGATGTCTTCTGCTGTACAGGTTGTCCGAGGAGAATTTATCATATTCTTTAATCAGATATTTGATGCATTATGCAAGCTATCGTTTGATGCTGATGCCAACGTACAGAGTGCTGCTCACCTTTTAGATAGGCTTGTGAAGGTTAATAATTTCTCCCTCATCTGAATGTTGGCATCTTGGTAATTATGTGATATATGGGAATTTATTGCTCTTCCGTTTTACCATGTGAAACAGGACATTGTTACTGAAAGTGACCAGTTCAGGTGTGCTTTATTCCCTTCCAATTTCACTCTATGAATCTTGTTGTATTTAGAGGTCTCATTCGAATTTTCTGGGAACGATCTTTATATAGTTATTTATATGGTTTCTTTGTCTTCACTCTTTAGCATTGAAGAATTTATACCATTGTTGAGAGAGCGCATGAATCTCCTGAATCCCTATGTTCGTCAGTTTTTGGTTGGATGGATAACTGTACTAGATAGTGTTCCAGATATTGACATGCTGGGTTTCCTTCCTGATTTTCTTGATGGTAATAAAGTTATGGTCTTTTAAACTAGCATGCTACTTCTTTATGAGAAGTTATTTTAATTAATTAGCTCTTGATAACTTTCAGGTTTGTTTAATATGTTAAGTGATTCTAGTCATGAAATACGGCAACAAGCTGATTCAGCACTTTCAGAGTTTCTCCAAGAGATTAAGAACTCCCCGGTAAGACTTCTACTAATATTTTGTTCTTTGACTGTTGAATTGGCTCCATGGCTACATGTCTTAAAGTTTCTCATGCCAAGATTGTTTTTGTTTTCACATCTTTATGGGGATAACATGATTGATACCTCAACTTTTCATTAAAAAAAGTTATGGCTTGATTATGTATCATTTACCAAAGTATTTCTCATAAAATGAAAATCTTTTGTTCATTTGTAATTTTCTGACTCGAGCAGTGCTACTCTTGAAGTCTGTAGATTATGGTCGCATGGCTAAAATACTGGTGCAAAGGGCCGCTTCTCCTGATGAATTCACTAGGTTAACAGCTATCACTTGGGTAAGTAGAGTTGGACTTTATGTTGCTATAGAAATGGGAAGATTTTTAAAGCAGAAAAGAGGAAAAGAATCTTGATAATGGATTCTTCCCCTTGTCAATATATTTGTCCAAATGTCCATTCTATGATATTCTTTATTTTTCTTGCTATTCTGAGACTAATTATTCCATCTGGTACTTTCTTATCATAGACAGAATCTAATTTGATTTTCTCATTGTACAGATAAATGAGTTTGTAAAACTTGGTGGAGATCAGCTTGTTCCTTACTATGCTGACATACTGGGAGCCATTCTCCCCTGCATATCTGACAAAGAAGAGAAAATTAGAGTGGTAAATTTATTTCTCCTATAGTCTTCTTAATGTATCTTAAGTAATGATCTACAATGTCTTTTAGAAACTCATGTGGAGTTCTTTCCTTTGTGTTCATATTTTTATATTAGGTTGCTCGTGAAATCAGTGAGGAGCTTTGTGCAATCAAGGCTGATCCAGCAGATGCTTTCAATGTGGGAGCCATTCTCTCCATTGCGAGGAGGTGTAGTTTCTGTTTCCTGAGAAAAATGTTAGGTTTGAAATGTTACTAGCAGTTTGTGCTTATATGGCTGTATATAGTGTTCTTTATTTGGAAGAGCTATAGAAAAGTGCTTAAAATGGTGTCTTGTTTTGCTCCTGAATAATTTAACTTTACAATGATTTTGTAGTAATTACTATATTTTTTGACTGATTAGGCAACTGGATAGTGAGTGGGAGGCCACCAGAATTGAAGCATTGCACTGGATATCAACCCTTTTAAACAGATATCATTCTGAGGTGAGGAGGCAGTTTTTTTTTAATTTCATGTACGTCTGGTAGTGTGCATGTTTTCTCATATTTTTTGTTTTTTACTATCATCATCTTACTTGGTCCAAGATTTTATTATTGTTGAAGCATTTAAAAGCTTCTTGTGATAAATCTCAAATCTTTTAGCATTATAGCTCATACGGTGTCTCTCTTCATGTGTGTGTTCCTTTCTACCATTGTCTCTTTTATATGCATTGGTGCTTGAAGATGTGTTTAGTCCTAATAATATTTCTCATTAATTTCACTAAAGATGATGGTCGTTAAATACAGGTAGATGCAAAGTACAAAAGATCTTGATCTAAATTTCCATGAGCCTTTGTATTCTGAATTAAAATGCAAGTAGACTTGATATTAGCCAAAAGAAACCTTCTTGACTTCTTTTTCTGGTACATGGATATAGTTTCTGCATCTCAATAAAAGTCCTAATTGACCTGCACTTTTGGTGGAAGTACATCTGATGCTGCATATGTGAAATCTTTTCATGTATCAAAAAGATGACATTGTCTGTGCAAGGGCATGATAATTAAGTGTGTAACATAATGTAAAATTTGTAATGTGCATGTTATATTTATTTGCAGTTTATGATGCCAGTATTGCTCCAGTATGGATGATGGTTAATTTTTCACCTGAAACAGGTCTTGTGTTTGCTAAATGACATATTTGACACCCTTTTGAAAGCTCTATCTGACTCTTCTGACGAGGTAAATTTCTGCTGCTGCTTATGTGTTTCATATTTAATTGTTCCATTAAAGGCTTATTTCATTTTATTTGTTTATTCGTGTTCTGCTATAATTTCAATGGGATATGCCCTATATTTATTATTTGGTTTCTTGGATGGAACTGTTATTGAAATTTCTAGCTAACTCAGCTGTTAATATCCTTATATTCATCTTCCCATGAACCTAGAAAGAGGCTTGCCTTTGCAAGAGTTTTTCCTCCTCCCCTTTCTTTCTTTCTTCTTTTTCTTTTGGAAGGAATTGAGGATTATAAGGATGGGTTTGCTATATGCCTATTGTGTTGCCAAAATATCGGACTGAAAAAAAAAGGGGGGGGGAGGGGATTGTAAAATATAGTACGTATGAAGAAGTCTAAAATTCCTATTTTTCACTGTGAGTGTGATGTCTTCTGCTTTGGAATCAATTAGTTTGCTTTGTTGCCTTCCTTTTGGTTGTTTTCTTAATTTTGTTAGAAAAACTATTCTCTTAATCCCTCTGATATTATTCCAAAATTTGGTACAAGTTACAGCTAATCATTCTGTTTTTAACATCCATTATTGAGTTTCATTTGTTTCATTTCTAGCTGTGCTTTTATTACAATAATTGGTCCTGGTTACCGCTCTCTTTATCTCCAATAATTGTCCTTTTATAGGCTGAATAGATGATAATGGAACAATGCTAACTTTTTCTTCCTGGGAATGTATTGGGAACATCTCAGTCGTTACTAGTCCGTACTTTTTCCATGTATTAAATATACATGGATGTTATTATGTTGGATGTATCTAGTTTAGCCTCTGCTCTTCCTCTCAAATACCTGTTATTTAACATAAAACTGAAATTTAAAACTGTGAATATTTGATTTATGATTTTTGAGTCCAACTATTTATATATTTTGTCTGTTAGGTAATATATATGCCTGTTTGGTGTTCCTTAAAGGTGCTTTTGTTTGTATACACTAATTTATCTTGCAATTTGGATTTTGCCACCAGGTGGTGCTGCTCGTTCTTGACATTCATGCATGCATAGCCCAAGATCCTCTACAGTTCCGCCAGCTTCTTGTTTTTCTGGTGCATAATTTCCGGGTTGATCATTCTCTTCTGGAGAGGTGATTCTAGGCTGCTCAAGCCCCTGTTTCTTTTTATTATTATTATTATAAATTGTTTTGTTGAGTTGAGCACTCATGTAGGCTACATGGTCAACTAGCTATGGTTATTATAATTATGTACTTGTGTCTCATATGTTTCCTTTGCAAATAATTTTCCTGTTTTCTCCTGTTTTCTTAGGCGTGGTGCTTTGATAATCCGTAGACTTTGTGTTCTCTTGGATGCTGAAAGGGTCTACTGTGAGCTATCCACCATACTAGAGGGAGAAGCAGACCTAGATTTTGCCTGCATTATGGTTCAGGTTCTGTCATGTATTTAAGAGCAATAATGCTCCTCAGTTAAAGTTATAAAATGAAGCAACTCCAGAACTTTAAATATGTGATAGCCATCACGTTGTTATTAAAGTTGAAAGTGTTTTTTTCGAATCTTTTTTTTAAGTAGAATGTTATTTCCATTAAGCACCCTGATATTAAGTTTTCTCTTGCGTTTCAGGCTTTGAATTTAATTCTACTCACTTCTTCTGAGCTATCCGATCTTCGGGAACTTTTGAAACAGTCACTGGTTAATGCTGCTGGAAAAGATTTATTTGTTTCTTTGTATGCTTCATGGTGCCATTCGCCCATGGCAATTATAAGTCTTTGTTTATTAGCTCAGGTAATAAACCATAACTCCTTTAAATGGTTAGCTTGTCTCTATTTTTTGTGTGTGATGGGTTGAGGTAAGAGGTGCAGGGTTGCACCCTCTATTTTAATGGTTGTTAATCTAGTATTCATTTGCTTGATAGATGTACCAGCATGCAAGTGCTGTGATTCAGTCCCTGGTCGAGGAAGATATTAACGTCAAATTCTTGGTCCAGCTTGATAAATTGATTCACTTGCTTGAAACTCCAATCTTTGCTTATCTGAGATTGCAGGTGCTTAAATATATAGTAACTACTTGCCTTACAATCTTGTCCTTTTAATAGCCTTGGTATACTTGATTTGTAGAGAATTGTAACATCACATATTTTCTTTATTTAGTTTTTTTTACTTACTGATATTTGCTCATGTTTCAGCAAGTCTTAGGCAGTATTTTATTCATGATTATTTGTTTACATACAATCTATCTCTGTCTCTGTCTCTCTCTCTCTCTCTCTCTCTCTCTCTGTCTGTCTCTCTCCTTTGTCTCCCGCTGTTATGCACTTTTGTATTTCACTTATTAAACTAAACTATGGTATAACTTGCTTTTTTTTTTTTTTTGCCATAATATAGATGCATACTCATATGGTAACGTCTAAAATTTTGCTTGAGCTCAATGGATGTTTTGATAATGACAGGCATTATGAAGCCTTCCTTACCGAAAAGGTTATGCGTCCAGCATTTTAGTGACTGGTCATCAAACTTTTATATGATAAACAATTGTCCTTATCAGATAGTTGCATATCTTCATGCACTTGCAGCTTGCTGGTCATTTTACTGAGCCAAGATATATTAGCTTTAGTGAATTCATTAGTTGTCATTGTAATTGCAATTTTCTTTGTAAGTAATAGGTTTATTTCTATTTTCCTTTTTGTCATTTGAATTTAGAAGATCTGTTATGTAGCTGATCCTTTTCTTTTTTTTATTTCCAGCTTCTTGAACCTGGAAGATATATATGGCTGCTGAAAGCATTGTATGGTCTTTTAATGCTGCTTCCACAGGTATGTCTGTTTACTTTCTTTTTTAGGCACCACTCCTCCAAACCAACAAAAAGGAAAAATATAATTTTGGTGTGAACTTGACTTCATGAAAACGGGTCAAACATTTCCTTTTACTTCAGTGTCGGGTATGGGATGGATAATTGGTTTTGAGGGGACATCTCGTGTGTATTCATGCCCATCACAAACCAACACACATATACACATATTGAGCACTAGTTTTTCATTGTTAATTTATACTGACCTTTTGATCTAACTGTAGCAAAGTGCTGCATTCAAGATACTGCAAACTCGTTTAAAAACCGTGCCATCATACTCCTTCAATGGTGATCAACTCAAACGAGCATCATCAGGCAACCCATACTCCCAAATTTTACATCACAGTGGATCCCAAATCACTGAGGATGGTGACGTAAACCAAGATAATGGGAATGTACCCAATGGAATTAACTTTGCTTCAAGGCTGCAACAGTTTGAGCAAATGCAGCAACAACACCGTTTGCTTGCAAAATCACAAGCACAATCACGAAACAGTTCCACTTCATTTTTCAAGGTATGTGAGCTGCTTTTTGAGCAAGTCTCATTTTCATCGTCTTGCATCATTATTTTGATGGTTGTGTTAGACATATGGCAGTCTATTCCGAATTATGTTAAAAGTGTGGAATAACTGCAAATTAGAACATTTCATTGTATGTTAGGGAAAAGTTGAAAACAAAACCTCTCCTGTAACAAGAATTTACTTCAAACTCTCTAATTATGCTTCATGATGGGCTATTAGCAGAGAAAGGAACCTGTTGGCTGTCCTTATAATGTTTTACCGTTATACATCTTTCCTGCCTTCACAAAGTCTTTTATGATTTTCCACTATATCAGAATCAAGTTGTCATGTTTCTCTTTATGTACGCAGGAGGGGCCAAAAGCTGAACCCCGGTGGCCTCCAACATCTTACATAAACAGGCCTCGTTCAAGATCGTCTGGGAGAGGCCCAGGACAATTGCAAAATTAATAGTTGTTACTGGTGCCTATTGATAGTTCAAGGTCAATTGTACTATGATCTCAAGATGTTTGAGCCACAGGTGAGATATCGTATAGTTTGTAAAAATTGTATATCATAATAGTTTGCTTATCTCAAACTCATGGAGGTTGGGATGGGTGAAAATTGGGTTTTGAATATAAACTTGGGGCTATTCTTTTTCCTTTGTAAACAGGATACGCCCATGTGGTTCTGTTATTTTTTTATTGAAAAACCACATGGATTAGAGGCAGAAAATGAATTTAGAAAATATAGTGGATATATGCAACATTAGAAATGGATGCTTACCTTCTATTGAAAGTTGATGAAATCCATTAAAAACCGTAGTCAACACCATACTGCTACCTTCAAGTTGGGCGATTAAAGTGTGTATAGAATAATTGGGTTTTTCTCAATTGTGTATTTTGATAATCTATCTTGCATGTTTCATGACAGATGCATGGTGGTTAAGGAAATATCAATAGAGTCCTTTCACACTTGCCCGAGTTTTAATTTTTTATTCTATTTTTGGTCATTTAGGTTTCCATTATGAGATAATAACCGTTATTATATAATTTATATTATAAAATATTGATAGAAAAGTAGTGGAGAAGACCCTTATCGTAAGTCATTTTTATTTCGTCGAGTGATGAAAGGTTTGAATTTGATTTTTTGAATAACCAAACATCTACTATTAAGTCATGTTAATGATTATGTTAGAATAAATGGCAATAAGACTTTGGTTTAGAGGTATGTTTGATTTAGTTTAACAATTTTTTTATATTGATATAATATTTAATTATGATTTTTTTTTTTTTGTGTATGAACTTTTATTAAAAAAAGATAAATTAGCCAAAATCTTTTAGATAGTTTTTTCAATAAAAATAATGTTAATTTTATCAGATGATCGGGGTGTATTATGGTATTTAGTGAATTTCACATGAATCTTGCCAAAGCTTTGCTTGGGAGTTGATAGAAAGAATAAAAAGGTTTTGTTAAATTTGTGTTACTGTATTTTTGTTTATATATTTTTATTTAATGTATTATTTTTATCAAAATCAAGCAGAGATAATATACTAATATATATTTTAATAAATATTACCGTTACAATATCAATTAGTACTCGTAAACAATTTCCTCTTTTATATCATTGTTAATAGTTTGTAATAGTGAAAAATTAAAATTTATCATCTCTTAAAAAACAAATTCATAATAAGATAATTTTTTTAAAAAAAAGAAATCATAATTAGAAAATATATAAAAAACTTAAATGTGCTAAAATTTGAATATAAAATATTTTAAATGTTATTTAATAAAAATAATTGTATAAATTAATTGATTTAAATTTTAGATTTATCGTCAAGATTATATTACTTTTAAAATCTTGTGATTATTTTCAATATAAAAAAGCATGCTTATTTTATTAGTTCACTTTTGATTTTTTAATCTCCTCTTGTTTCATTTTATGGTTCTCAAATCTATTCCATCAAGAAAAAAAAAAAATCTTAAATCTCCCAATTACTTGGTAGCATTAAAAATTCCAAAGTCTAGGGCTATCATCACGTTTGAATCTTTTTATAATCTAAATATAGCATGCTAAGCAGGAAAGTAAAATTAATAAGTAAAAAAAAGAAAAAATTCAACAACCCAACCCAACAGTCGGATGTTGAAAAGACGTGCTTCCAAATTCTTTTTTCTCCACAAATTTTATGATGCAATCACGCCTAAACTCCCTCTATAATAAACCGATCAATCCTCCCCATTTTGCATCCAAAAATTCAAAACGAAAAAATCAATTACAAAATAAAAAATCCATTTTTTTTTTCTTTCCAACTCCAATTCCATTGGGATTAGGAATCCCCACTTTCTTCAATATGTAACCAACAGCCCTTTTTTTTCTCTTTTTTTAAACCAATTTTTTCTTTCTTAATCTCTCATTGCTTTTGTATTTTTCTCCTTGTTTTTCCCTTTCCCAATCTCTGAAACAAAGAGATAACAATCTAATGGGATTTGGGTCGATTTTCAATCGAAAGAAGAAGCAGCATTCCCCAATTTCAACAGCTTCTCCAGCTGACCCTCCCATTGGGTCATCGTTCCTTCAATCTCCAATGCGAACCCCATCGAGAAATATTAGCCAAACCCAACTCAAAGAACTCGAAGAAGTCTTCAAAAAGTTTGACGTTAATGGAGACGGTAAGATCTCATCATCTGAACTCGGTTCCATCATGGGTTCCGTTGGCCGACGGCCCTCCGAAGAAGAACTCCAAAAGATGATCAAAGAATTCGATGCTGACGGTGATGGGTTCTTAAATTTCAATGAATTTGTCGAGCTGAACACCAAAGGAGTCGACTCGGACGAGGTTTTGGAGAACCTGAAGGACGCTTTCTCGGTCTATGATATAGACGGGAATGGTTCGATTTCTGCCGAGGAACTCCATGAGGTTCTGAAAAGCCTTGGAGACGAATGTTCCATCGCTGAATGTAGGAAGATGATAAGTGGAATAGACAAGGATGGAAATGGAATGATTGATTTTGAAGAGTTTAAGGTTATGATGATGGCTGGGGCCAGGTATGATTCCATGGAATCTCAGAGAGGTGTTACTGCCAAAACTGAATGATGATTTTTCTCTTTGTTTGGAGGGTAACTCTCTTGTTTTTCTCTCTGCTTTCTCTGTTTAGGATCAACTTTTTTCTTTCTATTTTCTCGTTGGTTCTATGCAAAATTGTGTATATTTTTGGATCCTTTTGAATTTTACTTCCTATGAAATTGAAGTTTTATTTTACTAATTCTATATATTTATTTTTCATTCTGAATTTATTTGCTTCAATGGGTTATAGAATATTGTTTTTGTTTCTTTTGGTGTTTGGGTCTCTAATATTTAATGAATTGAAGGTCAAAGTTGCTTTTGGATGTCTAGAACATGAAGAATTGGATATGGTAGGGTCAAATAATTAATAGCTTTTTTTTTTTCATTCAAGGGGCAGAGTCCTAAGGGGAGGTGGGAAAGATGGGATTTGAGCTCCGACCTTAATGTCTTTTTTAAGATTGGTTTGATTATTAGGCAAGCAGCTGAAGATAAATAATTAATAGCTTTGTTTTTTGATTATGAACCATACAATATTTTGAATACTATTTGTAATTAAACTATTCAATAGTTCAAATTAAGATATGTTGCTTCAACTATCATACATAGCATATATATAGATATTGAAATTTGTTATCTCTTATTAGATAACATTAAAGGCTGCATTGAATTATCATTTGAGTCAATTTTAACAGTTTTGTTGCTTTGAAAAAGCATATGAAAAATCCATCAATAACTAATTGCGAATATAAAAAGAAATTGTGTGATGAGATTTGAATCCAAAATTTATTAAATGTTTCTTTTAAAGATGGTCAATTGGATTTAACTTGAGATTTTGATAATTACAAAAATAAGAAACTTTTTTTATAAATTTCTAGCACACTATACAATGAAAATTTATTAAAAAACAATTCACAACAAAAAATTGTTTTCTTAGATTTTATAAGTTGCACTTGCATCCTTTTACTGTAAGCTATCCATATATTTTTTTTAATTCAGGATGAGATTTGGTATAACTTTACATGTGTTAAAGATAAAAAAAAGCAAACTTTCTGAGGATGGATTGATCCATATTATTAGTTCACTCTTGGTGTTACTAATTCTTAAAATAAATTCAACTACAGGATAACAATGAATAGTCAATGCGTTTGTGTCACAAAATGATCAGTTTCATCTTTCAATAATTTACAGGCCATTGAAAGGGACTTCTCTTTCCTTTAGGGAAAAAATAAAAAAAATTTTTTATTGTAAACATAATTCAAATTACGAAGTTAATTTGCAATTTGGTAACCAAATTATATTATTTTTATTAATTTAATATAAAAAAAATAAAAATTTACAATCAGATAGCACCAGCACCCTGGGCAGTGGGCAGCCTGCCACTTGAAGCATGGCTGCTTCTAGGATGCTTATCCTCTCTCTCACCCACTTGGCTACTTCCACCCACTAAGATGCGTCGCCGCTTCCTCATATCCAGCGTGGCTGGTCCCTCACCCACCCGACCTCCTGAAGTGGGTCAAGGGGGAAGGTGGGTTCGTGCAAGAGGCACTGAAGATGACCCAGGACACTACCTACGGGCTAGGCCTTGTAGCCTCTGGAGAAATCCCCAAAGGCTCTGATCTTATTGTCCTCCCTGATCACGCGTCCTTGAAGTTTCAATCAGACAAAGAAGATGCGTATGCCTCTGTCTTTGCTCCACTTGTCTAACGAAGTTCCTGGTATGTTTGTTTTTTTTTTCCTTAGCTTTTGACTTTATAATAATAATTCAATGTCAAGGTTGTTTTTTCATGCCCTCTTAATAATTTAAACATTGTTAAGACATTTAATGCAAAACCAGGAAACAAAAAGATAATACAATTTACAACTGAGTCTGTTTCTAGACATTGTGATTAAGATTATAGCTCATGTAATACATTTTTTAGGGAGTTGTGTATCAACTAGAACTGATCTAGTGTTTCAGGAGCCTATGGAAATATACTAGGTTTTAAGGCGGTTCACATTGCAATATCTTCGGAGAATTTGAGGGTCAAAGTCCAATTACAAGTGAAAAGAATAGAGTTTGATGTATCCATTACTGGTTCCTCCGTCCTTCACCTGTTTAGTGAACATTCCTTTCTGCTTGTTTACAAAGTTAAATTATTAGCTTACTCACTCGCATCAGAGATTGGTATCATGTGCTGATAGCTCCAGACGCTACTATGGTTTCAGGGAGTGGTATCATGAATTTTTTTTTTTTTTAATTCATGTAGGTTGATAACTACCAAGTTTTGTAAATTGGGCTTTTTAGAGTTTTAAAATTGAACTCTAAAAGGGATTTGACATAAGAACTACGGGCAGTGAAGTTGGCTGTGAAGTGAAGCTTCTGCAAGAAAGAGCAAAGGTTGGATCCTTCTGGTGGCCATACATCAGCCATCTCCCTTTAACTTACAGTGTACCCATCTTCTTTGCTGGAGAGGATATAAAGAACTTGCAATATGCTTCTCTGCTTTACCAGGTATATATTTCATCATTTAAGTTACCAGAAAGGAAATATCTTATTTTCCTTGTGTGAATGAAACTTCATTGACCCAATCTTATGGAAGCTAGTATGACCAACCACCCTCCCCCCCCCCCCCCCCAAAAAAAAAATGATGTAAGCCAGTATCTTTGCTACATTAATGGTTTGACAGATTAAATTATGCACTGTGTTGAAATTGAGATTTGAAAACACGGTGAATGCTCAGTGTTCACATTCCTTTGGCCCATTTTTGGGTATACATTCCCTTGTTTTTGTTTGTAAATTTCATTGATTTCTGCAGCTAGCTTTGAAGTTAATTGTGATTTTCTGCCCCCAACCAGGTGAATAAAAGGTGCCATTTTCTTCTGGAGTTTGGGCAAGAAGTTAAAAATGCTCTTAAAAATTTGAAACCAAGAGAACATTCTTTTGGTGGCCAAGATGTTGATGCATCCTCCCTTGGATGGGCAATGTCAGCAGTCTCATCCGGCATTTCATTTGTATGGGAAAACACTTCCAGATGGAACCCACTGTGAAATCCCAATGATGCTTCCTCTGAGTGATATGTGCAACCCTAGCTTCAATCCAAATGCCTGAATTCTGCAAGAACAAGATGCTGGGAATCCAAAGATGCTAATAAAGGCAAGTTCTTTTAAATAATTTTTATTGTCTTAATTTCAATCAGTTTTAATTTGATGAAAAGCTGAAATAGCCCATAGTTTTTCTCATACATCACACTTTCTCATATCAGGTTGTAGCTGAAAGGGAGATCAAATAAAATGATCCTGTTCTTAATTGTGGCTATCTAAACAATGATTTTTTCCTATTGGATTATGGATTTGTTATACCATCAAACCCGTATGACTATATTGAGCTCAAATATGTTGGGGCTCTTATGATTGCTGCAAGTATGGCTGCTGGTGTTTCTTCACCCAATTGCTGCTCACCAGCTCCAAGGCAGCAACAAATTCTTTCTTAGCTTATGTTTGATGGAGAAACTCCAAATTTCAAGGTCATTTCTTCCCTTTATGTTGTTTTAAATTGTTATCGACTTTTGGATTGTTTTCAACAAACTGAACAGTACTTAACATGATGCTTGATAATGCTAAACAGTTTATGCTTTGTAACAAATACTTCTCATATTTAATTATTAAATGCCTTTACTAAGAATTCTCAAAGTTCAAATCTGACCACCTGGTTACATTTTGATTTGTCTGTTTCACATTGTTGACATGGGTGAACCTTTCCTCTCTTTGCTTCTATTTAAAAAAAATTGGAGTAAGACTGCCCTGGTAAAGTATTGAAGTAGTAAAAACCTTCTGTAGTATGTGGCTTGAAGAATGAATGATTAATCTTTAATATTGCAGAAAGATGAAGAAAACTGCCCTTGTTCATGGCAGCTTAATTCCCTGATGTTACATTTTCAACTCGCCCTTTCAGTTTCATGAGTCCTAAGTTGTACCAAACTCAGCTGACTTCTAAATTTTAGTGTTAGTTTTAATGGTTTTGGTCAATTCTAATATATATTGACCCTGTTCTTTATTCCTAACAGGTAATCATAGGAGGTCCTAAATTGTTAGTGGGACGCTTATTGGCTGCTTTAAGAGTTCTACTGTCAAATGACGTGGAATTGGTGCAGAGGTATGATTTAAACGTCCTAAAGTCCTTATCAGCTGAAGCTCCCCTTGAAGTTGCCAATGAAATAGCTGCTTTTCACAACATTATTGCACTTTGAGTGATTGCACTAGGACACTTCCCCACGAAAATAATTGATGATGAATCTCTATTGAAACAAGGTCTGTCTGTTTCAACTGAGTTGGTGATACAGTTCCGGATACAGAAGAAATCCATGATTATAGATGTCATGAGAGATCTTACAAAGAAGGTGAAGCTTCTGGTATCAAAGGGACCCGCCAATGCTTAAGGCTAATTTCTTATGGTATAGAGTCATTCAACTGCTGTTTATTCGTTCTCTGACACTTTTGCTGGTTTTATATTTGTTATATAATTTCCTGCTGGTTTCAGTTATTGCACTTTTTACGTTTATGGAAAATTTTGACTGCTTTTATCCGGTGGTGATTTTTGGTGCATCCTTTTTGCATTTTATATCATTATATGATAGTTATGGTGTTATCCCTGTTATCCTTATATCTTTTGCAGGCAATATATGCTTAAAAAGCTCAAAAAAAAAAAAAAAAAACTTAAAAGATGTTTATGGTCGGAGAATTTAATTTTCTGAGAAACTGGGGAAGGAAACAGAGGGAGGTTTAATCCATACAAGGTGTTCTATTAGTTATTAACAGGAGAAAATTTATTATGAATAGGGAAGAAAAAGCAAAGAAAGAGAAAGATTTTCTCCATAGAAGGATATCTGCAACAGATAGAACAAAGATTCAGAAACTGGCAGGAGAGAAACCAGAAACAAGATAAAAGAAAATTGTTTCTAATACTAAAAGCCTGCCGCCATGAGAGTAACCTTTTCTCTTTCTTCTCTTTTACATATCATGTGCCATACTGCCACGAGTTTCTATGAATTCCCAACTGATATGGGTCTTTCAGCTAATCCCAGAGGGGACCGGGACCGTTGCCTGGTGATCTCCCGGAGCACCCTTCTCATATCTGGCTGCTGCAGTGATGGTTGCTTGATCTTCTCAAACTCTTGCTTTATCTTTATAACTTGGCTATGAATTGGAACACCTTTATATCCATCCTCATCTCTTATATCTGCGTTGTTGTTGTTGTTTTCGTAGCAGCTGCTGATCTTCTTTTGCTCCATATTCTACAGTTCTAAAGCTAAACTCACACCCTCTTTTTCAGATTGCAAATTGCAATTTCCTCAAGCCTAAGGCCTTGTATACTTTTTTTTGGAGGCTTCCTGGGGTGTTTATATATGGCGTGAATAATGAAAAAGACGAGATTTCTTCATGAATAGTGTGGAAAAGGACGCTGGTGGGCAAAGGGTATGTAACTTTCACCACTTGTATTCATTTAAAAGAGTTTCTGTTTTGAAAGCATACTTTTATTTACCAAGACTGCCCTTTATTTTTTGGTACTTAAAGTTGTCAAAATTTGAAAGCTATCAGAATTTAAATTTTGATCATTAAAATTAAAAAGTTAATATTCTATCAACAGTCGTTGACTTGCTATTTAAGTTAGACTGGATTTTTTTTTTCTTTCAAAGAATAGTTGAAGTGCTAGATAGGATAGTTGGCTGGGCTGCTCAACTGCTTCTTCACATTTGTAAAGAGGAATTACTTATTTGACTGGTTCTATATTTTATATAAAAATTTTGTATGCATGCAAACTTTGGTGAATGCTACAATGACCTCCTTTGCACTTTCATGGGAATCATGTGGAAAATTATTTGCAAAATATTCTGTACAACATTCATGAACCTATTGGCCAACTTAGAAAAGGCAAGGATATTTGATGATTTATGTTTTGAAATTTTACCATGTTTTTACCTCATTTGCGGACTAGAATTTTTTTTTTTAATAGCAATTTCTTCAATTTAGAGAAAGAATTTTATTTCTTTTTATTTTAAATAAGAAATATTCAAATTTGATTTTAAAAAAAAAATATATGTAAACTTATCATTGATTAAGCTAAATACTTTTGTGCTTTTAATTTCCTTTTCATTGTTGCAATTTTGAGGATGGCCAAAAGGATAAAATGAATTAGTAAATATCATCCTTGGAAGGAAAATCTAATTTAAATAATCATACAAGATTGTTTAAATTCTTCTCTATTGAATCCAAAATAATAATTAATATAAAAAATTTCACTTATTCATTGTTGATTTGAGTTTGTCATGATTACACAATTATTTTTAAATAAATATTCTTTTCATTAAAACTAGCAACAAAAATAATGGTAAAAACATCAATTCAATGTATCAATAAAATTCATAGTGATAAGGCTAATGTCACAATTCTTTGGTCTAACAAATGTAACCGAAGCACATTTTTTTCTCGTGTTACCATCGTTAAAAGCTCAAGTTTCATTATTGTTTATTCAAGAATAAATTTGATAATTTTAAATACGATACGATGATACGAAATAAAAATAATATAATTTAATATTTTAATAAAAATTATAAATAAATTTAATAAAATAAAATTTATATTTTATATTTTCGTATCGATATAAATTGTGATATATAATTTTTATATAAAATAATATATAAATATATAAATTATTAATATTTTATATGATATAAATATACTAATTATCAAATTTATTCACGAGTCTTATTTCTCAGGATAACGACAATCTTATGACCTTGATTTTCATTTTCTACTAACCTTGTAAAAACAAAAGTTGTTGGTCTTTATTTATTTTTGGGTCCACATTCCATTTGAAATTAATTCTGACAAGCCAAAACTTTCCAGACACCCTTCCACGTGGTCCTCTCTCAATATCTGAAAATTTGATGAAAGTGAATCGATATAAATTGTGATATATAATTTTTATATAAAATAATTTATAAATATATAAATTATTAATATTTTATATGATATAAATATACTAATTATCAAATTTATTCACGAGTCTTATTTCTCAGGATAACGACAATCTTATGACCTTGATTTTCATTTTCTACTAACCTTGTAAAAACAAAAGTTGTTGGTCTTTATTTATTTTTGGGTCCACATTCCATTTGAAATTAATTCTGACAAGCCAAAACTTTCCAGACACCCTTCCACGTGGTCCTCTCTCAATATCTGAAAATTTGATGAAAGTGAATCGAGGAATTTGGCACCATTATTACGTTTTCAAAAATTTAATTAATCTTGGTCTTATCTAATGCGAGAGATATAAATTTTAACATCTATGTTTTAATTATAATTTAAGTTATTATCTGTAATTTTTATTAAATTAAAATTTATTCCTAAGGTCTTTCTTGAAAAATTTCTTACTATAAGGGATATGGTGATCGGTTGCATATGACTTACGCGAAGCATGAGGATAATGCGGAGAATTTCAGGCAGCCTCAAAACCAATAGGATTTCAACTCGTGTCCAATCAATCGGGCTATAGTTTTGGTCAATCAAGCAAATGGGGAATTGATGACTGATTTGATTTTGAATAACAAATCCTTCTTTTATAGTTGGATAAAATTTTTTAAATCAAATTTAAATGAAGTTATTTAATTGAAATTTATAAAAAAATTTTAAAAATAAATAATTAAATAACTATTAAAATAAAAATTTAAATTAATAGATTAAAAAATTAAATTAATAGATTAAATTAATAGATTAAAAATTTAAATTAATAGATTAAAAATTTAAATTAATAGATTAAATTAATAGATTAAAAATTTAAATTAATAGATTAAAAATTTAAATTAATAGATTAAATTAATAGATTAAAAAATTTAACTATAATTAAAAAATATGAAACCTTTTTTTTTATTGCTATCAATCAACTCGTCAAATATTTATTTGCATTTAATTAAATATTCATTTAGACGAAAAAGTTAATATCATTAATATTTTTTAACTAAGACAAAATTTCATATGACAATAATAAAATAGATGAAAATTTATTACATTGCGTAATTGATATATGTAAACATAACATAAAATAAAATAAAATATTCTTATTTTTCTCTTTCATTTTTATTTTTATTTCGTCATTCACTTTCTCTTTAACAGTATGTTTGGATTGAGGAGAAGAAAAATAAAATAAAGTAATGGAAACATAAAAACATTTCTTTTGTTTGGATAAGTTTTTAATTTTTTTAAAAAAGAAAGAGGTGGAAACTCGATAACTATTGGTTTCTTCTATAGTCTTCATTTTTTTAATACCTCAATTTAGGGCAAAAGCTGAGGAAATAAAAGCTAAAAAAATTTTATTTTTATAAAAAGACTATTATATCCAACTTTTTATTAATACTAAAAGCTTAGTAAAAGAAAACCTAATCACGTCACAATCTTTTATAATTTTTTCAAAGTCATTTCTTTTTTCAAGTAAGTTTTACATGTTTCTTTCAATATAAAAATTTTTTATAATTTTTTGGTGATTTGATCTTGATGAATGATTAAATATGAATAGACATATTTTTTAAGTTTATGAGATGTTAAAATGATAATGTGCTGAAATTTTGATAATGGTCAACAAATCCTTAATGCATGTTTATAAAATATTTTTTTGTTTCACTTGATTAAAAATCACTAATATAGTAGCAATTGTGAGGCTAGATAAGATAGAAAATATATTATGATCAAAAAGTGCTTTATAAAATCACAAGCAATGATAGATTATAATTGAAAAAAATTATTATAATGAATCAGTTCATTTCTTTTTCACTTTTTATTCAAACAATGATTGTTAGAATTCATTTCCTTTCATTTCATTTATTAATTTTAATTATCTAAACAAGGGTACATGTATCCTTTCTTTTCCTTTAAAAAACTTTATTTTCCTTTCCTTTTTCTTTTTCTTTATTAATATTTATCCAAACATAGTGTAAGATCTTTAAAAGTTTAATCTAAAATATATATATATATATTACCACATAAATAAATAACTTTGTCACATAAGCGTCTATATGGATAGTTTTCTTAAATGATACATAGGATAGTTAAAAAACAAATAAGATAGTTTTTTTAATTACAAATTAGATAATTTTAAATTTATTCAAATATCAAAATAATTCAAATTATAATTGAAAATCAAATTAATTTAGAGATATATTTTTTAAAATTAAAAATATGAAATATGGATTTTATTTTTTTAATAAATAATTTTAGTTGTTTATCAAATAACCTTATTAAAAAAATTATTTAATTATCAAAATCTTTCAAACATATTTAAAAATTACAAAGATTAAGTTTATCCAAATCTTTTAACAATTTTTTTTATCTTGATTTAAAATTTTTTTATTTAAAAAATTATCTTTTAAAAAAATTTATGTAAGATATTAAAAATTCAAGTAATTTTATGTAAGATTTTGAAAATTCAAAAATTTTTAATCTTAAATCTTTAAATAATAAGATTATCAAAATGATTACATTCATTTGAACTCTAATTATCAAATTTATATTTTAAATAAATGAAAAAATTTAATATTATATTTATTACTTATTATATTCATTTTAAAATTTAAAAATTATCTATTTAATCCTAATTGCCACAAAAAAAATTTTTCTACAAATTTAAGACTACAAATGTAATGTGTTAAACATCAAATTTTTTTTATTTTTTTCAATAACTTTTTTTAAGGTATATTATATTACTATTACCATTTTTGTTGTTTATAAATTTTTTCTAAGATATATTTTACTATTATTATAGTTTCATTTTTACAAAAAATAATTTTTTTCAATTTATTTTTTTTGAATATTTTCTAACATTTTTCATATTTTGTATAATAATTTAGTCAAGATTATTAAAGTGAAAATGTGTTAATATTTCTTTTATTATTTAATTTATCATTCAATAAATATATTTTTATTTTTTAAAAAGATATAATTTATTTTTATTTGATATAATTTTATAAGTGTATAAATATTATTATAAATAAAAATATCCAAAGGAAAGACATAATTTTTTTTAATTGTTTTCAAAAAATTATTTTTTAATGATAAGTCAATATATAAAAATTATATATATTATGAGTTTTAAAGATTTGAATATGATTTAAAAAAATTAATTTGTATATATATATTTATATTAAATAAATAAAATTATTTTATGTATAGTAAAAATTATAATCTAGTTTACTATTATTTGGAGTTACTTGATTCAATTTTTTTTGGTGATTAGATTTCATCCAATCAAGTTGAATTGAGTCAAAACACAAGATTAAAGATTTGAATGAATTGAACTATAATTTAAAAATAAGTTTAACCCATTAGTCTTTCTTCTTTTGTTCGCGTATTACGTTTTCCTATTTTTTTTTTAATCACTCGACGAACGGACCAAGATCCATCCAACGGGGCTTGACTATTCATCCTAGTTAGCTAAATCAAACAAAACACCC